TGGCCTTGCACAGGAATGACAATAAAAACAGTTTTTATTATGTAACAAAGAATTGGGGCAAATATCATTTGCATGTTGTTTCATTTCTTGTTGGGAACATTGTAAAATTGCTTTAAATATCTGGGTGACTGCCATTCTCGGCTTCACCGTCCCGGGAGAGACACGTATGACGACAGCGGTGTTCGGTGTAGGTCCACGTTTACTGATGGCAAACGTGGGCTTCTGGATGCGTTCCTGCCCTGGGTTTGCTCGATATACGCCACTGATGATTGGCAATATTCCGTACCTTAGTTAATACAAAGCAAAAGAAGCACCGTTTTTCTTTCGCAGCAACTAACAAGCACTTGCACTCTCCACTCTCCAGCGACGTAGTCGTGGGTCGCACGAGTCGCATTCTACGACTCTGTGAATTCGTAACGAGTGTAACTAAAATACCCTGTTTTGCTTCCGGTGCAGAATCATCATTCTGGAAACGTGTTTACGCTGTGTTATTATTCCAAATCACTCTAGTTGTCCTAAAAGATCAATTTTCTTACCAAATCATACGTAGTCTACCATGGTAACATTTGGCGTCGCTATTGCCCGTCCATGGGACCGCACCAATCTGTGTAACTAACGTCCATGGGACCGCACCAATCTTCGTAACGTTTATGGGACCGCACCAATCTGTGCAACACCCATGGGACCGCACCAGTCTGTGTAACTCCCTATATCATCAACTGAACTGACTTGGTATACCGGAACTGTGGCCTAAAATTACCATCACGTGGTCAAAACTAGGGTCACGTGAATTTGAGAAGGCATTGATATATATGTCAGCAAAAAAAATTCAACGCGCCCTAGGCGAAACAAGTAAGTACAAACAGCAGTAACTTGAGAACCTATATGTCGCACCCAATAAGCGAAACGAAGCGTTCGCAGTAACGAGAACTTTACGAACGTGCTTTTTATTTTTGCTTTCACATTTTGACGCACGCTTGATAAGCTGTTGTACGGTGGACAACATCTCAACTTGCCAACGATGGTGCACTTAAAAATAGGGTGGTAACTTAGCGTGTGTGTCACTTACTGAAAGGGATACCTAACTCATCTATATGCAAGAATGTGAGTGTGTGCCACGTTTGGTGATGTGTGTCCGATGGGCTCGTGATAACAATGTGGATCATAACTCATCCACTTTCTCAAAAACAATCACTCCCATGCGTCGCTGACGGGTTATATATGGGATGGTGAGAATGACACGCTTTGTGAAACTTGCGTTCTTGTAGGTCTGTAATTTGTCAAAGCCAGCTGTGCAGTAGAGGGCTGAGCCATGTCAATTTTCCGTTTTCACATGCAGTCTAACTTATCCACGGTTTTTATTTACTTCTCTTTAGCAAATGGAGGTCTATTTCAAAGTTGGGATCTGGAGGTATCGAGCTGAATGCGAAGCTACACCCCCGGGTACCTGATATACTAAATGTAACCCAATTGCGAGAAACTGGCTGTGGCACAGTCACTGGCCTTTCGGCTGGCTGATTCCCATTAGCAAATCTACTTCAGCCGTTGTTCGCAACTGTTTGGATTAGACGCAGGCATCACACAAAACGAAATTGTTGATAGACTTCTCACACCGAAAACAAGTTTTGTTGGCTGTCTTCGCAAATGGTACATTAAAAACACGGTTTTCACGCCAGCACCATGATAGTCGTACGGTTCTGAATAATGCGAGGATGTATGGCAGGTTCGCTTCTCGATTCGGAGTGCACACTCAAAACCAGAAACGAACATAGCCATAGCTCTACAAGTCTCCGGGTTTGCATGACGCGACCCTTGCGACCTAAGCCACAAAACTGGTCTCCACATGACCTTGAGACTGTGCTGTCAGCACGTTGACCACTGACCTCGCCGACCGTGACGCGCAGCGTGACCTCCTGACCGGCGCTGGGCGGGCTGGGCGGGCTGGGAGTCAGGCAGACCAGGCTGCCGGCGCAGGCCGACATGGCGCCGTACCGCTGCGAGCCTGCTGGGGACTGGCGAGTCTGCCGCACTGTCGACGGCCGGCACTCCGCTGCTTCTGTTCACTGCTGGTCAGGTGCTGCCTGCTTCTGTTCACTGCTGGTCAGGTGCTGCCTGCTTCTGTTCGCTGCTGGTCAGGTGCTGCCTGCTTCTGTTCGCTGCTGGTCAGGTGAGCTGTATTCGCCGGCCTGCGCGCCAGGAAAATAACCCACCCAACTTCTGCCAGCGGCCGGCCAATCGTGCAGTGGCTTTGCAACTCTTGCAGGCGGGTGCCGCGTCGCCTCAGAGGTTCTGTTGATGAGGATTGCGCGGTCAGTCCGACGTCCGCCAACGGCTCCACAGACTCGGCACGCGTTGCTGTGGCTGGCAGCAGCCTGCCTCCAGCCGACAGCCGTCCCTGCTGCAGGCCCTGGCACCAGCGCTGCGGTCCACACCGGCCGTTGGATCGGGTACGGGGCTGACTGGGACGGACAAACCTCTGTCACAGAGGGCAGGCCGAGACAGACAGATGTAATCTGACACAGAACCGACTGGGACCAACAAACCTCTGGCACAGGGGGCAGGCCGAGACAGACAGATGTAATCTGACACAGGACCGACTGGGACCAACAAACCTCTGGCACAGGGGGCAGGCTGAGACAGACAGATGTAATCTGACACAGAACCGACTGGGACCAACAAACCTCTGTCACAGAGGGCAGGCCGAGACAGACAGATGTAATCTGACACAGGGCCGACTGGGACGTACAAACCTCTGTCACAGAGGGCAGGCCGAGACAGACAGATGCAATCTGACACAGGGCCGACTGGGACCAACAAACCTCTGGCACAGAGGGCAGGCCGAGACAGACAGATGTAATCTGACACAGGGCCGACTGGGACGGACAAACCTCTGGCACAGAGGGCAGGCCGAGACAGACAGATGTAATCTGACACAGGGCCGACTGGGACGTACAAACCTCTGGCACAGAGGGCAGGCCGAGACAGACAGATGTAATCTGACACAGGACCGACTGGGACCGACAAAACCTCTGGCACAGAGGGCAGGCCGAGACAGGCAGCTTAATCTGACACAGGACCGACTGGGACGGACAAACCTCTGGCACAGAGGGCAGGCTGAGATAGACAGATGCAATCTGACACAGGGGCGGCCGAGGAGAGACCGACGAATGAACCTGACCAAGATGCGTGCCAATACGGACAGTGTCTGGCACGGATGTAGGCCGGCACCGGTAGATCAGACCTGTCATGAAGGACGTGCATCGATCGGTAGGACCTGACACAGGAGACCGGGCGGAAATCAACGAATGAGACTTTACACAGAGAACAGACCTGGGCCGACGCACCAGACCTGACGCGGGGAGCGGGTGAGGCCGATAGATGAGACCTTGCCACAGCGCGTGGCCGGCACCGACGGATGACCGGCCGCGTCTGGTGGTGTCGACCGACTGCGCTCGGCCGTCCCACGCCCACCGACCCCTCGCACCCCAGCACGGCCGTCTTCTGCGCGCGCTCTTCGGTGGACAACGGTCAATGAGGTGTGTTGGCAGAGAGCGGGGTGACATACCACCAGTCTAAAGTGTAGCCACGCCTTGAATGGCACCGAGGTCCATGTATGCTATGCTGTCATGTTGTTCGGTGAGAACAAAGATCGTTCTGCGCAAAAGCTGCTGGGGTCCGAGTCCCACTGACCGCAGGAATGGTCATGTCCATGCTTCCAAGCCTTTAACGGCGGCGAGAGATCAAACCGTTTGCCGTCTGTGCCGGCTGGGGATGATCAGTGTGCTTCATAGGCACGTAGGACATTGCTGATGCTTCACAGGCACGCTTTCAGTCCGATATATGCACTTTCGCGGCTCTTGAGGCCCATGAAAATTTTAAAAAACGAATAAAAAGTTTCGTATTAGAAGTGCGTTGACAACAAACACCACAGTGACGACCGCTACCGTGTCTCATAAAAGCAGCGCTAGACAAATGTCAGCCTCCGAGAATATCGAACACACTTGTTTAGGCAACAAACCAATACAGAAACAGTCAAACAGCTCAGCTGCCCGATTTGCAAAATCAAGCTCGGCAAAAAGGGGGCATATGCATTGCACACTTTTAGCAAACCTTCATCTGCACTGTCGCATCCCGGGATGCATGAGTCATGTCTTCGAAAAGCAACGCTGCATGGTCTGAGGTTTTTGTATTTGCCCGTTTTTAAACTCCTCACATAGGTGCGTTATAATTTTGTGTGCGTGAGTGTGTGCGTGTGCGTATACGTGCGGGGGTGCGTGCAAATGCCAGTGTTTTAGGAAATGTCATACAGCACTTTACGTTATACAGATGTCAGTTCATCCCTATTGTGTTCACGAGGCAGCAGTCAGACGCCGTTTACAAAATTTTGGTAGACGTCAGTAAATACTCATGATTGGTAATCAGTTGGCATTGCGTCAATGGTTTCATCAACTCATATTTTTCTGCAGGGCATCACAACCATGACCATTTTTTGAAATGTATTGAGAAGTTCACATATCTAGGTCGCATGAGTAGTTGAGCGTTTTGTGTTTGTGTGAGTGATTTGTGTTATGTATGCTCTTTGTGAGTGCTTTGTTTTTTCCAGCCCATATGAGTGGTTGAGGCCTAGAGTAGCTGGACACCAAAGCTTGCTGCGTATGCTGTAAACCAACCACCAAAATCGCGCTGTCCACTTCAACGGGGAGTTTCGTCACGAGTTCATCCTCTCTCCAACAAACCGAAGAGGCGGTGGGGTTTCGAATGTTGCGCAACGACACTGCCGAAACGTTGACAAAGTGGTTTTCACTGCTGGGCGAGACTTTTGTTTGTCACCCTGCCACTAATAAGGGCACCCTGGTCGTTTAGCGATACTTCGTGTAGCGAGTAACGCAGAAAAATGTCCGCTATCAGACATCCGTTGTCAGACTATAACGTTGTCACATATCAGGGTATCCCTGTCAAACGGGAAGCCAGAATGAAAACCAAATCACCATGTAACAACCTGCATTTTAACGATGTTTATTACAAAGCTGCAGACACTAACGGAGCATCGCAGGGAAAGCTGTAAAGCAACATGTTTGTCCAAATTTATGGACCATGACATCCATGAACTTGCTCCCTTAGTAATAGCAGCTCAGCGGCATAAAAAACAACACTGTGTCACAGGAAATACCGGAGCTGGGCATATGTTACAACGCTCTAACCGACCTTTGGCCATCCTTTGTCGCTGACATCCGTTAAAAATAACTGAAACATGTCACTGCCATCATTCAATGAAATGATACACCGATACTAATGCGAAAACACGACAGATGGGCGGATAATATCAGTTGTTCTGCATGATCAGCGAGCACACGGCTACAACATCCCAGAGTTGCTGCAAAGGCGCCAAGCCCTAAGGACGAAGAGCCTCGCCCGCTCTAAATCCTGATAGCCGAGACCAACCCAGACAGCAAATTTCCACGGCGGCCCGGCGAAGCCCCCCACCTGACCCCTCGGCTAGAGGATGGTCCGTGGCCTCACTCAGCCGAGCTGGCCAGGCGGCGGCCCAGCACCAGCTCGGCTCCGCTCCAGCCGCAGCCGCCAGTAATCGCGCTGCATGCCCAGGATCTCGGCCTCCAGGCGCGCCTTCTCCATCTCCCACTGGTGCTTCTCACGCATCTGCTGCAGCGCCATCTGGTGCTGCTCGCGCATGTGGAGCAGCTCGATCTGGTGCTTCTCGCGCGCCAGCCGGCCGGCCGCGTCTGCCGCGCTGGCCGCCAGGGGCGCTGCCGGCGCCGGGCCCCCGGCCATCGGCGGCGCCCGGCTGATGGCCGGCGCAGAAGCGCCCGTGGCGTCCGGCGGCGGGCCGCCTGACGCCGGACGACTCTCCGGGTCCACTACCGTGATGCTGACATCACTCCACAAACGGTCACGCGGGTCCAGCACGCTGAAAGCAAAGCAGATGGTGAACATGGAGCGGGAAACAGCGCCAGGTCACAACAGAGAGGTGGCAAACTATTTCAACAAGAACAGGGAATATTCGAGGAGATGGTTCATTCAATGACTTCCAGTTGATTTCCTACAAATCCATGGCATCGATCATGGTTGAGGATGACCGCTTTAGAGGTGCCGGGTAAGTCACCAAAACAACACCATGGCACGATTTACCTGCCCTCCTCGACATCTTCTTCCGACATCAGACCTTCATCGGGCTCCTCCGCCGGAGTTGCCGGTCGTCGCCGCACAGCGGCAGCACCGTCCGCCGCTCTCAGAGGAGGTGGCGCTGGCGCCAGCTTACGGAGCTGGTTGATGATCTGCTCTGGCGACATCTGCTGCGATCGGTGACTTATCTGGAAAACAGGTCGATGGCCATAACATGTCTCCAGCAAAGGGTGAAATGTTTGACTCCGATACATGCAGTATGTCCTCGACAAAACCCCTCTCATACGTTCTACAAGCATTGTATCCAAATGTCCTGAACGCCGTCTGCACGGAAACGTAGAACAATGCTTCTCTCACTCTTCTTCCAACACTTACATCTGCGACTTTCATGACTGTCACCATCACCCCACTGAAAATGAAAGCATGGTAAACCTCTTCGGTGTGAGCTGAACACTCTTTGGTCAGAGAGCCCGCGTCCCTGAATCATTCGGCTGCTCACGCAAGTTGGTCCGGGAAGTCCGGTCCGGTCCGGTCCGGTCCGGCAAGTTGGTCCGGGAAGTCCGACCCACCGTGAGAGGACGTTCCTCGACGTCTGCCTTGATCTGCTTGTAGAGCGGCAAGTCCTGTCGGTCGTCCTGCTCGCCCGACAGCCGGTAGCTGGTGAGGAAAGCCTTCATGTCCTCCATCAGCGCCTGCTCGGTTACGTCCTCCTTATTGCGCAGCTTCAGCGTCTTCATCAGGTCATCCTTGCGCTGTTTGACGAAGCGTCGCCACACGCCCTTGACAGTGCTCACCCCCAGACTCCTGCCGGCCGCCGTAACAGCTGTCAGTGGGACAGGCGTGACGCCAGGATATGCCGCAGGCTCACGAAACAGCGGCGCTTTCGGGCACAGCCGACCCTGGACTCTGTATATTTCAAGCAGATGAATCGTACCCAGCGACACTTGGGCATTTCTCGGGGCTCGAAAGTCGGTGGAGAAGGACACCACAGTATTTAAAGACTTTCTCCCCACGCAATACCCGTAGGGGTTGCAAGACAAAATTCACAAAGTTTAAAGGGACTGAACTTGTACCTGGCACGTCCCCGGGGCATGGCCCATGCAGAGTTGTCTCACTTTACACTACACTTTGGATAGTCACGAATAATTCCAATTTCGTGCTGCTCTTAAGAAATACAATCGTACATGGTAAGGCATAACACCGGTAAGACCAGACTTATGATTCATGAAGCCAAGTACCTGGGCCAAGTACAGGGATCAAACCCACAGAATAAAGCGTGCTAGCGGAATCTGCAGCAGTCGGACTTCAAAACACGTAAGGCAAGCAACTAACGGAAGCTGCACAAAACCACCTGAGCTATCTCTCCGCTTGCATCGCCTTGACCACATATTGCACCAACCATGCACAAAACCACCTGAGCTATCTCTTCGCTTGCATCGCCTTGACCACATATTGCACCAACCAGACAGGTAAGCGGTTCATCATAATTAGCCAAAACAAGCCGGTTCACAAAATTTGGGATGCAACAGATTTCACCACAACAAAGGCACCGAATCAGCCCCAACGTTTCCGCATCGAATCTTGACCAGCATAGCCGATACTGTCACGGCAATGATCAGTGGGACGCGAGAGAAAGGCCGGTCTTCGCCCAACTGACCACTGGTGCCCACCGATCGCCCACCTGCCAAATTTGCGGTTGTACTCGGTGCAGATCTCCACCCAGGTCTTGCGCTTCTGACGCAGCGCCGGCGAGTCGAGCCGCGCGCTGCCGATGACGTCATAGGCCCGGAAACAGCGCTGGATCAGGTAGTGTTTGTCTGCGCTCGACAACACTTCGGCCGACTTCCGACAGGAGGCGTCCAGGGCGGCGGCCACGTCCTCCGCCGAGCACGCCGACTCGGCCGACGGGGTGTTGGCTCGGCTGGCAGGCACGGGGTCACAGGTCACATATGGGTCACATGGTCCTGCTGGATGCGCGCGGGCCAGACTGACAACGACGGGGCCATCGATCGCATAAAGGTCATGTGACGTTGCCCCAGGCGTGCGGGTTCGGCTGGCAGGGACGGGGGTCATAGGTCACCGGTCACGTGACGTTGCCTCAGGCATGCTGGGCAGGAAGACAAGGACGAGGTCACATGTCGATCGTGTTGGACACGCTGATGGGGGCGGTGCACAGTTCACACAAAGGTCACGCACATACGATCACAGCCCACTGCAAACCATCTCATTCCATGGACTGACAGCTTCGACTATGCAGCTTATGGCAAGGAACTGGAGCTAACGTAACGGCCAAGTCGGACACATAGGCAACTGCAACCAAACGTGTTAGCTACGAATTCAATCCGAGCTCTGTGCATTTCAGGCCCTGGTGCACAATAATTTGGAAGACAACCGGGGTAATGGGCAACGTCGTAGGCGTAGGAACGTTTCAAAAAGTAGGGGCCAAGCCCAGGGTGTACTTCAGGAACTTTTTTTGGAAAGCGAGCCCGATGACCGGGGGGAGGGGGGAGGGGAGGGATGGAGATTGTTGTCACTCTTTACTCAAATGTCACGGCTACTACGCTAGCTATGCATCTAGAGCTGTTTATCACTGATGCACAATCTTGCCTATTTCGAGTCATCCGTCATTTGGCAAATAAGGCTATCCAGCTTTCCTAGATTTATCGTCCATTTTAACATTGTCTTTCCTGGGGAGACGAAATTCCGTGCGGGGGTAAGTATTTTGGGTCATTAATGAAGCATTTGCCTCCACAGTGTAGATGCCAAAATACGGCATGGATGTAGGCTGGTGAGAATTTTGAAAGTGGATCGATGGCTCACATTGCGCCAGGTTTTTCATGCATCTCCATTTCGCTGGTTGCGTGTCAAGAAATAAGACGTCGCAGCATTTTAGGCGGAAACAAGTTCGGGAGCTTGAAACTGCTGGAAACAATGTGACAAAATACCTAAAACTGGAGACTCTCTTTTAAGAACCAAGCCACATAATAAAGCCCATCCGTCGTATGTTCCCTATCTGGGCCCCGCTCCTGTCCGCCGTCAGTGGTCGCTGCCCTGGCCCGCATGTCTCCCGCATGACTGACTGCGAGCTGATCGAGTGGCTACTTTGTTGCATACTTTTGTATCAGCGTTACTTGTACATGGTGTATGAAACATGTGTTGGACACCTGCAACAGCATTTTTCCAGAATTATCTTCCCTTACACCACACCATCGCAGAAAAATAGCCTCCGGGGACACTGTCTGCCTTAGGTATGGATTGGCCCAACGGACACTTCATCGCCCATCATGCAACGCACGCGACTTGATCCTGCTTTTGTGTGTAGGCAGGGCGCGAAGCCAGAGCCTGGCCAAGAGCGAACACAGGGTTGACAAAAGCCCATCTTATGGTGACCTCCCCCCCCCCCCCCCAAAGAAAAATCCACGGATATGGCTTACTTGTTAACAAGGGGCACGGTTTTCTTCGTTTCATTGTTACTTTTACCTTGTAACGAGAACACAGACCAGGAAGCTACCGTGAGCTCAATTCCGTTTGCATTTTGAGGTAAATAAGCTGCATAAATCAGGCGTCGAACGACTGCATGGAAGAAATCACCGGCGCTCTTAATTTACAATGGTTAGCTGACTCTTTCTAAGCCGATATAATTCAGAAGCTTTGTCAACTTTTTATCTGGGTTCTACAGACATTGAGGTCATCGCGAAGGTAGATTGTAGATCGATATGTTTGATCCAAATTTGAAGACGAGAATTAGATTGCAAATCGAGTGGTCAACCTCGGCACCAGGCGTTGCAGTCTCCATAATCCGCGGAGCGTTAGCTCAGCAGCTAATATTTAGGCGTAGCCCACCGGTGGACGAAAATGATGACGCTTCTGAAATGATTACCTTTAAACACTTCAAATAGTTATACAAGCTACGTGGCGTAATTTTGAGCATGTGCACCTCGAAAGTTTTATAACCACAAGCCTCGTCCCCAGGCGTTGCAGTTTCCGTAGGCAGCGCAGCGGCGGCCTAGCGGCTAATATTAAGTTGTGGCCAACGGGTGGACGAAAATGACGACGCTTCTAAGAAAATATCCTTGGACGCCTCCTGACATCAGATCTTGTATTTAGAAGGCAGTCTGGGGCCATATTTCACGCGTGCAATTTTTAGGTTTATGAAAAGAACGGATTGGCCCCTAAAGCACCGCGAAGTGGGACTGGAATCTGGTGGTTGAACTGGAAGAGTGAAGATAAGATCTCTATTTTCGTGTTTCCGCAGCTATTTATCTATCCAGAGGACGGATTAGCATGGCGTCTGGTGATACTTGCATTGGCCGAAACTTATCGGCTTTACGGAAATTGCAACCCAGACCATCCTTGTCCTTGCTCTCGAGGTTGCGGCGAACATGTTCAAGCCTATTGATGTAATTTGTTTCAATAATACCTTCTGAAAGAGATAGACGTTCTCAGGCAAACATGGCATAACCTTGCCCGTTTTTCAAGTTCCTTTGACCCGCGCTTTTCAACAATAATGAGAGCCCCACTCTACTCAACAATAATGAGACCCCCTTATTCCCTTCCAGGCAAGGGGCCTCTTGAGTAGAACACCACGGGTACATCACCGTTTTCGGCCAAGGGTTGAAGGGCCATTTGGTTCTCCCTGACTACAGATTGCAGATGAAATGGGGTTCATAATTTGCATTAACACGGTTAGCCCATGTTCGTCTTATAATGCTCAAGGTCCTGTCAGAGCTGATTACTCATAAGAAAACTATGTAATATGGTGCTGAACATGCGTGCTCGCAAGCCATAGTACTAACAGCCTCGACGCCCGGAGTTGCAGTCTCCAGGCCGTGCGGCGTTGCCCTTGTGGTTGTCAGATTAAGTGATGGTCAATGAGCAAACGCAAAAGATGACACATCTCAAGGGAGATGGCTGGTGAACTAGGTAAATCGGCATGGATGTTAAATGCAGTGCAAAAGTAAGCCAAATGCAACCTTAATCTCAAAAGTGGGAAGGCCAGTTAACATTGCTGGCCTCCCCACCTTGAAAAGTGGGGGAGGGGCATGACCCCCCTGCCCCCCCCCCCCCCTGTTCCTACGCCCACGGGCAACGCAAAGGTAATTTCACCAATGCACCATCCGAATACCAGTTGTGACCAGATGACAAGCTTGCCAGCAGAGATAACTGTAGCCGAGAGGCTGAAATTCAACGTTTCCATTCTGTAGCAGCGTGTAAAGCACTAGAGAAATACTTTTAGGCAGATGACAGCCCACTTTTCCGTAGCCTTTACGATATCATTTTTAACATAATTTATTATTTATATTGCCTGATGTCATGATCTACTTATTTCTCGAAAAAAACACGATCGGAAAGTGGGCAGAGGGAAGAAGGGGTCATCACCCCACACACATGCCACCTGGGGGAGAGCACCCAGCGTCCGCTTTCAACAAACTGTGTGCAGCAGTGAGGAAAGGCCAAATATTCTAAGAACAATATGTCTCAGCTTAATGTTAGTCTGGTGCGATTTCTTTTCGCGAACCTCAAACATTGCAGAAGGCGACTGATTGCTCGACGCCAGAGAAAAGTGTAGGAGCCGGACATGATGGTGCTCCACCCACTTTCGGTGCGAAATTGAGCATGGAACTTCCGCTCATGCGTGAGAATGGTTGACGAAAGAAGCTAGGCCTCGACCCATCACTTTTTGAGACACCTTCATACGCTCCTGGGCACATTTAACAAACTAACATTTCAGCACGCGACGGCCCAAAACTGATAACATTCGGATAACGTGTTCAAAAAGGTCGCCAAAGATCGAAAAGTCTACCATTTTCGTGTGAACTGTCGCGCACGTATAAAGCCAACGCTGCTACGGTCTCCGCCCAGCCTAGTGGAGGAAGCAGAGGCCCAGCTCGACTTCTGGGCTGAGCGTCGTGCCGCTGACCGTGCCTTGAGGCGGGGATGTTTTCCGACCACCCGACCGGAGTGCGTGCATCAGTGTCGGGGGAGGGGAGGGAGGACGGGGCTGACATCTGATATTTCCGGGACGAGACGCGTCTCAGGTTGCGCCTGTCCCCCGTGGTGATCACTGGCGGACGGGCCTCCTGTCGCCTTCGCTGGGCGGAATCGGCACCGAGACGGCCACCGCCGGCGGCGGGCGAAGTACGGCGGTGGCGGGGCCGGCCAGTCGGGCCCGTGCGCGGCCGCCGGCCGTCGGCGGCGCGCGGCGGCGGCAGGGGGCGCCGGCCGCCGCCAGCCGGCAGCTGTCGGCCGCCGGACCGGACCGGTCTCCCACGGCGCCGGAGGGCGTCGGGCCGTGACGTCAGCGGCCGCCGGCCGCAACAGCCCCGGCGGCCGGGCCGAGACGAGCGACCGACCGACGGCACGCCCGCGACGGGACAGCATGGCACCAGACGGCCGGCAGACGCCCACGCTCAGGGCTGACACCAGGACGGAGAACACACTGGCAGACTGACAGACGGGCAGACCGAAGGACCCGGACCAGTAGGCTGACAGAGGACACTTGCGGACAGGCAGGAGGACCGGCCATCGGAGATAAGCGGACGGAGAATGGAGAACGCACACTGGCGGACCAGGACACGGAGGCAGACGGACGAAGCTAGGCGGGAGACCGCGGGCGGAGAGAGGCCGCATGTAGAGGCTGACAGGCGAGCCGACAGGCTGACCATGGATAAGAGCGTAATGGACGTCAGTCGGCAAGGGACTCGACAGAATATGCCACCGATAATACGCCCCCCCCCCCATACGCGCGCGCGCATATATATATATATATATATATATATATATATATATATATATATATTATATATATATATATATATATATATAAATGGTAAATTGTTCGGGAGAGAAGGTGCATCACACATACAAAGACAAGGTAACACAGACACACTTGTGAAATACATCCTAGCAAGGCACCTCGTTCATACGGAGTACCGAAGATGGTGCAAGTTATCATCACCAAGGCTGGCAAGCTTGCCGTCTACAAATTATAAACATGCCGCGTCAGTTACGGACGTTTCATTAGGAATGCCATCATCTCGATTCCGGTAACTAACGATTGTTGATATAGCTCTAAATATGCTCCATCCGGACGGAGTCAATTAAAATGACTGGCGATTCCCCGCGTGCGCAGTCACGTGCCTCTGCCTGCCCCTGCAGGAAAACCAGACCGCTGGAGCGCGCGTGCTCGAGGTGTGGACGTGGAGGCGTACGCGATCTGCGCGGAGGGCGCTCCACTGCAGAGCAGATCGAGGGCCATGACGACCGGCGTCCGTGGCGCTCGAAAAGTCTGGCAGGGTAAGGTGCGGGACATAACCTACAGCTTCTTACAGCCGGTAGGATTAGGAATTCCCCCGACCTCAAACCCGTGCTGCAGGAGTGCTGCTGAGCGGGGTCATGGACTTCCGCCCAGTAAAGGTTCCGTGGCAGAGCCAGAGCCCGTGACATACAAACTTCGATAAACTATCGTGCGCAAACGAAACGGCAAACATCTTCGGCCAGTCGTAAATCGATATTTACATTACATCACACAGGTTGGGTGTTGCGCACTTACAACAATACATGGGGAGTGCACAGCTAGACAAAATTTGAATTAGGTGGACAGCTGCACAAAAGATACGCTAGATGCACATACAGTTACTGAGGAATAGTACTGAATAGCCCGCGATGGAACACAGCCGACGAGCAGGGCGCCCAATACGGAACACAGCCGACCGAGCACGGCGCCCAGGACGGAACACAGCCGACCGAGCACGGTGCCCAGGACGGAACACAGCCGACGAGCAGGGCGCCCAATACGGAACACAGCCGACCGAGCAAGGCACCCAGGACGGAACACAGACAGCAGACGACGCCCAGGACTGGAACACAGACGACCCGAGCACGGCGCCCAGGACGACGGCCGTCCGGTGGCCGTCCAGGATGCCCCGCTCGTCAATTCCGCGGAAGGGGGGAGGGGGACGGACGGTTTGCGCGAGTCTGCCGGGGTGGTCGGAGACTCCTAGCCGGGGTCAGAGATGAGTTGCCTTTCCGGGACGATCGGGCAGAAGGGAGTAGGAGCGAGACAGCTCCACTCGGGCAGAAGGGAGCAGGAGGGGAGACAGCTCCACTCGGGCAAGAAGGGAACAGGAGGGAGAACAGCTCCACTCGGGCGGAAGGGAGCAGGAGGGAGACAGCTCCACTCGGGCAGAAGGGAGCAGGAGGGAGACAGATCCACTCGGGCCCTTCCGGCGAGCAAGCAGCTCCGTGCGGGTCTGGCGGATGGGGTTCGGACCAGGCCATGGCTTCAGGAGGTCTGCCGTGGGGGAAGGAAGGGCTCCGGAGGGTATGCCAGGCGGTAGGCGGCTTCAGGTCCTCCTGCTGCATGGGAAGCGCGAGTGTGTGAAGCATATAGCTCCCGCCTCCAAGAGGGTCTTCCAGGGGAAGCACCTGCAGTTAACTCTCCTTGGGGGGGGGGGGGGGCTCCAGCTCAGTCCGGTGGAACGGAGGCAGTCCCAGGCATGTGAGCCTGGAGCTGAGCTTCCATCGGACCTGGCCGGGCGGCACGAGGTGCTGGGAAGTGATTTTGGACGGGTGTGCAAAGGGGGAGACGGCTCCAGGTGGGTCAGCCGGGTGGGAGGCGGTCAAGACGGATCTGCCGCGGACCGCGAGACGGCGAGGGATGACTGGGCCTGTCGGGGAGAGATAGTCGCTGCAGTCATCGCTGGAGCTGGAGCCCAGGCTCACCTGGAAGGCGATGACGCAGGCTCCTGCTTGACCGAGTCAGCCGGCATGTCATCCAGCTGGCGGGACAGCTTGCGCGGCGGTTCGTCTGTCTCATCTTTCACCGTCGACGGTGGCGACATCTCGTCCAGGTCGTCCCCGCCCGGGTTGGACTCCAGCCACTCCAGTAGCTTCTGGAACATCACCTCGTTGGGCACGGCCATCGAACCGAGCGAGTCGGGCCCGCCGTCGTCTTCCAGCGCCATCTCCTCGCGACTCTCCTTGCGGAACTGGATGCTATGCCGTTTCCACAGGTCCTTCAGCTGCTGCACCGTCTTGTGGCAGTGGGGGAAGCGCTGGTTGAACTGGCTAGAGATAGACGCCCAGACGCGGCGCTTGTTGTAGACGGCGCGGTCGTCGATGCGCGTGTCCGTCACCACCGCCCAGCTCTCCATCACCTGCGACAGCAAGAACGTCCGCATCGACGATGTGAACTTCTCCGGCTGCCGGCGCGGCTGCGCGCGGACAAAGTCCTTGAACTGCTCATCTGCGTCGCTCGACTCCATCACCGCCGCCCGGCGCGACGCGCACGTTCTGGCCGGCGGCCGGCGCGCGCGCGGCGCCCGCCGCCGGAGCCGGACGCCCGCCCCGGGCGATAGGCCCTGTCCGACCGTGTCTCGGCAGCGCTGCTGTCTCGCGCCGTGCCATTGGTAGCCGCGATGAGTGCGGAGTGCCGATTGGCTGCGCTGGTGAAAGGTGCCGCGGGCGCCGGGCGCCCGTTGGAGGCCGCGCGCGGGAGCGGCCGGGCGGGGGCTACGCGCCGGTGGCCGGAGGCGCGACAAAAACACTGTCGGCGGCGCTGGTTGGGCCCGCCGCCGACTCGGCCCCACGTGACCTTGGGGGAGCCGCCTGGCTGCCGGCGCTGAGGCAGTCGCGAGTCGACGCCGGGATCAGCGCTCGATGTTACGACAGTTTGACCTTTCGGCCAGCTCATTTCTAACACGCTGATGGTGCTCAAGGCATTCCACCTCCTGAAAATATGTTTAATTAAACATATCGCAGCTGCAGCGCATACGCGTGATTCGGTCTGCTGTGGAAGTCTCGTGCGGAAAGGGACTGATACACCACGAGGAACCAAAGATTACCCACAGGCAAACGGCTGTTTGTTCTGACCCTAGCAGCCACAGCTCGTGATTACGAGCCGTGGATTCGTCGCGTTAATACAATGCATCAGAAAGTCCATCACTGGCGTTTTCGCTGGCGTGGTAGCTTTGTGATGACTTCGAAATTCTTTGGCCGTCACTAGTCTACCTCTGTCCTCCCGAAGCAACGACAGATGAGGAACAGTATACGGTTGTCCGGACAAATTTTGGTGAGCTACACAAGCACACGTGCCTAAGAAAATGAAAACAAAGATACCGTTTTCCGGCACCTGGCGCGGGCAGAAAGCACGTGACGGTTCTCAGTAGCACTTGTGGCATTACGTTTCCAATTACCGGGAAGCATTATTAGCGTCCAGCTCGTTACTGATATCCTGGAAGCAAAAGTGAAATAAGTTTTGTTTGATATGCGGTAAACAAATCATCAGCAAAGAATTAGTCTACGGGCTCCATTTGTAACGTTTCTGAGGCGCATCAAATCTGTACACGCGCCCCCTCTAAGTGTGCTCATGGTCTTGGGCATGGTCTTGGGCATGGTCATGGGCATCGGGGACGTGAATTAAAGTGGCCGAAATCTGGCTCAGGTACCCGCCCCCTTCCTCTTCGCAACGTCTCTAGGCACTTTCCCAATCTTACCAACAACGGTAACGTGAATTATGTTCCGGACCATGGGCAACAATAATCGACATCATTACATCCATAGATCCTTAGCACCGTATTTCTTCTGCTCAGTGACCGACTACAGCGATAAGAGGCCACGGCTATGAGCAGTTACAATCCTGAGACGGCAATAACCATGCAAAACATAGCTGAGCGAAAACGGAAGCGCTTTTTTACCAGCGTAAACTTCCCTTGTATGCCGTGGTGCTGTTTTTTTCTTCAAATGGGTATACTCATTAATCAGTCATAATTAGTACTAGCATAAAACCATTGCTAAAGCCCAGCGCAACCCACTGGCATCCCATTTAAGGAGGAGTTCACATTTGTGTGGGGATTCGAACTAAAATAGCCATCTGAGATTATTCTGTGCAGCTCACAGCCCTGCCTTTCTGAAGACCTAACCCCTCCAGTTGCTGGGCTTAATACCCGGGGAGATGTGCAGACTATTTCGGAGACTATTTCAAGGACCCAAGCATCCATGACGTCATAATAACGTCGGATTAGATTATCGAGTTGTTCATATGTGGCATCCGCGAGCACAACATACAGATATAACGGCCGTCAGTTGGCTCTCAATCACTGTTGTGCAAGGGACGATGGCGTAATCAAACAATGACGTATCGAAAATCATAGTTAATAAAGAGAGATATTGCGCGTCTAGAGCAGTCTTCTCCATTAAAAAGTATATCAATAGTGTTAAGTTAATTTATTGCATCACATCTGATGCTTACTTCAATATCTCCAACTATGGAGCATTCCTGTACCGCAAAGGCGCCCTGCCCCCTCCCCAGCACGCATCACGTGACGCGGTGGCGTGTGCCAAAGTACGACGCTCGTAAATGCATCCCTCGCAAGGCTTTATACGTTCACTTTGGGAACAGTTTTAAACTAACAGCATTCTAAACAGACGACCGCTTTAATAATGACGCCTTTTGCGCCGTTCTATCTCCAAACGTACGCTCTCCAAAAGCCATCCATCTTAAGGCAGGCGTCATATGACGACTCCCCCTCTGTCCGAAGGTTTGCGTTCCGTTAGTCCATGTGTAGGCACGTGCCAGTACACACCGTGCCTGCACATGTGTACACCCTGTCGCAAGGACAAGCATATGTGTATAACGATATATTACCAGAAGCATGCCCACATGTGTACAGCTTTTGAAGACAGTGCATATGTTACAACCAATGACATGCCAGAACTCTTCGTTCCGCCAACGACCAGGTAAGCAGACTCAGTGCCTCTATGGCACTTCCACAGGCACATACACAAACATTTCACGGTGTAGCGCTGTCCCGTTTAAACGATTTATCAATATGCCACACAATGGACCGCACACAAGCCCTAACCGACCGGCTAATATTCTCAGGCAGGGACCTCATGGACTGTTCAGTGATGGCATGTCACCAGCGCAGACGGAGCGGGCGCGGGCAGGCACCAATTCGCCGCCAATGCCCCACAGTCCATCTCGCTACAACTGGCGCCGCCGACGACATTCGGTCCGAGGCAACACGATAGTGAGTACGATTACCACGATGACATGCGACTGAGCTCCGACCCCCCAGCATACTATCGTACAGCAATGCAAAGCTCTCTGCTCGGCGATTCCGCCTGGCCACCGTCGGCTGATAGCCGGCCGGCGCTCCGCCCCGCGCCAACAGCAGGCTACATGGCTCTGCTTCCCAGTCCGGAGGAGCATCCGCGACGGCAGACGCACGCCGCGGTGTCACTGCCGCCCAACTATACACAGGCGCACAGAACGCGCCACGCAGACGGCCGACGCAAGTTAGACGTGTCGGACAAAAAAAAAAAAACACTGAAGAAAACTTCAGGGACAGCAACATGGAGAGATACGCAGCCTGTACCCGCCGCGTGTTTAAATCGTCGAAAAGTGACGGAGACGTACCGCTGCCAAGTAATCAGGAAATTCCATTGACGGAAAATGCTTGAACGCCGTCAAACGTTGCGAACGTTCCGCCCCTGCTCGTAATCCGAGCCCGCTCGAGAAGCCCGTTCGATTTTGACAGCACCAGTGACAATGAGCGACAAAACGTGGCCCGAGATGGCGTTCAAACGTCCGAAGCTGCGGGCTCATGCACAAAATTAAACAGGTATAAAATTACTACCCGCACGGGCGAAGAAAGTAGCACTGCCCACAAACCCGTTGACATAGGTAAAGTCACATCCTGTGTAGATTACACCCTCGCCGTTCACTGGGGTGACCCCAGAGCCTTGACCTCATCGCAGACCCCCTACAGGGACCACACCGGCCCGTCAAAGCGCAGGTGCGACGGTCACGTCAACCCGCAGTCTCACACGTCGACGCCAGATGGCGGGGGCGTCAGCAAACAGCCTGAACTTTGCTTATCGCCTGTAGCTCCCCAGGAACGCCTTGCAGTTGGGGCAAAAGTGCTCCTTGTTCATGCATTCGTCCATACAGCACGGGATCAGACAGCAGCCCATCCAGCATCTGAAAGGTGAATGCAAATAAACATCAGGTGATGCGTGCAAACACACCTATGGCTGGGAAGCAAAATACTCTGACAGACATGATAACAATGCAAATTGACACAGTAACAATGTTCCTACGCATTTCCCTGCAAAAGCTCCATGAGGATATTTGGAGAGGAGCTACCGCCTGACCATGTTAATGAACTGACTAAACGCCTGATAAGCTGCAGAGATAAGACGGCTTACATGCCAGATCACACTGTACACTGGCATAGACAATTAAAATAAACGCTTTCAGGTTCCCCCGAAGTCACGCTGCGCTAGTGACGTGCGGATCCCAACAGTCCTCGCGGAGCAGCAGGCCAAACACACGTGGTCGAGCCCTGGGTGGGGCCGGTTTACAGGGACAACGACACCAGCGGAGCCAATCAGGCGTCCCACGCGCCGCGGAGCGGCCCGGCCGCGGCGCACGCACCCGAACAGCGCGATCAGCAGGCCGGCGATCCAGGCCGTGGTCGATGGCGACGAGCGCACGCTGGTCTCGATCTCGGCGGTGACAGTGCGGGCACATCATGTGGGCCGGGTTGGGACCGGCCACCGTGACCAGGTGCGTCTGTGCCGGCGGCGCCGCTTGCAGGGGCACACCTGCGACGGGTGGCGCACCGCTCAGCCGTGCCACGCGGCGTCGGCCAGGGGCGCAGTGTCGAGCCGGCACAAAACACCTCATGCGTTCGCCCCATGCGCTCCTGACGATTCGCGCATGAAAATACAAGCTTCTTAGCACGATCGTAAACTACTGTTCAACGGCTGAAAAGGTACGAGCCTGCCAATGTCCCAAGAATGTTACTTGACTCGCAAGAGCGGCTGACGATAAGAGCCGTCTGCCAACAACTCGAGTGTCTCGACAGCGCAGCCCCTGGAGGTGAGCCACGGGGTCCCGTGCGTCCTGCGTGCACCATCCTCCTTCCCCTGACCGCTCCTGAGACGGTGCGGCGCGTACCTGGCGGAGCGCCGTACTGTCCGTACTGCTGCTGCTGGGCAGGGCCGTGCGGCACGCCGGGTCCCTGGCCGTACGGTCCACCGGGCCCCTGGCCGTACGGTCCACCGGGCCCCTGGCCGTACGGTACACCGGGCCCCTGGCCGTACGGCACACCGGGTCCCTGGCCGTACGGCGAGGGTCCAGCGCCGCCTGGCGGACCGTACGGAGACGCGACCTGGGGCATCGGTGGAGCCTTGTAGTCGGCAGGACCTGCGCACAAGGCACCCAAGAAGGAGTCACACTCGGGCAAATTCCGCCCGCCGCAGAACACAACTGACGGCGGCTGGCAAGAGGGCCACGGTGTTCCTTGAGGACAATGCGTACCTGGCGCCGACCCCTAGGCGCCCCACGACACCGCTGGGGCACTACACGACGTGTCCACCAATGACCCCATTTGGATGGTCACACCGCATGGCTAGGTGAACAGCTTCCACGGAAATCTCGATTAAGGTTATACGACATAGCTTAAGTGAAAACATTCCGAATCAAAGTGACACTGTCGTCATCGACGGCCCATAACACGTGACCTCACCTGGGTCAAGCTCCGCTCAGGTGACGGCAAGAGAACATCGGCGGCGTAGCGATGTCTTTGTTTGTTTCTGCATTTTTGCGTACAAATGCATGAAGAACAAAATGCTATGCCTAATGTAAGTGGAGCTGACAGCTGTGGTGATCCAAATCACATGCGAAAACGCTCAGAATGCCCTCAACCGTAAATGTATGACATCGCCAAACTTAAGTTGAGACAACGAGTAAGTTAAAGCTTACAAATTTCTTTTGATCAGTATACCAACTGTATCACCATATGGCCTTGGAATATGAGGCACAGTATATTACAATGTTGGTAGAATATGCAGCCATTTTCAGCTCATAATTCACTGTAAGTTCAATCTTAGTCAAATCAGAACCTTTTTGTTGAACAAGGAAATTTCTTTACAGCCTTAATGTTTACTGCTTAATGATATTTCACATTGACCAGCGATCTACGGAAAATGAATGGCGCAATCTGATGCGTAATCTGTCGGATTTGGGTGACAGTGTGACGGCGGGGTTACTTGATACCATGAATACCTATGCAGGTTTTAGCCAAATCAGATCAATAGCGACATGACTAAAAGACCTACGCGCTTTTGAGAGGTCCAAAATGACCATCCACATTTCATAGCATGATGACGATGACATGGGCTGCACGGCACGCTGACTACAATGGTGATATTGCTACCATGCGTCTAATAGCAGCTGTTGCGTGGCAAACATTGAGTAATCACAAAACTCTGCATAGTTTGACCCACACTGAACAAGTAAAATAACTTCAATTTTAATTTTGGTTCATGCTGTTGTTCTTTTGATGTTGCATGGTTGACTGTCACAAAAATAGCATGAAGATGGTAATGAGCAGTTCATGTCTATTTTTGACTGAACTTCCACAGAACAGTAAAAGCATGACAATGGGAACTAGACTTCAAGCTCAACTTATTCAGAATGAAATCATTAACTCCCATATTTGCCACCAAATTTTAGTTTACAACATCCATTCAAAGCCGTGAAATCTGTACCTTTAACCATGGTATTTGTTGACATAAAGGGTAACACAATACAGGGTCACCACATCAAAATGTTAGAAACATGACAAATCCAAACATTACATGGCCCAAACCTTCAACATGGGTTCCACAACACATTAATTTACATCATTCTGATGGATTTTACATGTTATAGTGACTAAAGGTAACTTTGGCATGGTTTAGTTTTTGGTTTTGGGACTAATCAAAAGTGTTGGGCACCACAGGTCTGTTATTGTCAGTTTCACTGTGATGAAATCATATAGCCAGATTTAAAGCATTACTTACACCACTTTAGCAAAAATGCATCTGCATGCAAGTTATTTCATGCATATTTTCTCAGTCAATATGTGGTGGATTCCTGGAGCACATGTCCAGCCAGTGGCTGCTGGGTGGTTCAAGTTTGCCTTTGTTCTGACAGTCAGTTCATACCTGGTGTTGGCTGGTAGGCAGCACCTTCAGTCATAGCTTGGTTATAGCTGGGTGGCCCATCAGTTGGAGGCTGAAAGTCAGGAGGTGCAGAAGCCTTGCTCATGGTGAGGTTTTCAGGTCCTGAAAACACAATCAGGATCAGAACACTCAATAACATCTGTGACTAATGTGATCCAGGCATCATAGTACTACCATGCCTCTGATGCCATAGTCATCCAAAGGCAGAAAAAATTTAAGGTTTAGCTTAAATACTTAAGGTTCCAATTTTGACATCTGTTCTGGGTAAATGAATTACTGGAATGACAATGAAATGTTCTGGGATCAAGCTGATCTATGACTGCAATGATCACAGCTTGTTCTCAGAATCTAGAAATTATTCAGGGATCACGTGACCTGCAGCCAGTCAAAAGTCATGCCAGCAGCACTTCAAACAGGGGACATCTTTGAATACTTTGAGAAGGTCCCCAGTTTGAAAAGACATGCTGTTAGGACTATTGTCCCACTCTATATAATTTTGCTTTTGCAATATTTTTACCATCTACCAGAATTCACATAACCAGCTATCAGTTTCACAATAACTTTGCTGCCAATATTTATTGAGGGTTCATGACAAAACTTCTCATGTCCAGCTGCCACACCATAACACATTATCTTAAAAAGATAGGTGCATACCCTAGCCACAAGGCCTAATTTTGGTGCAAGGCACATCACATGAACAAAACTGCCAATCTTGTTCAGTTAACTAAATTCATTGAGCCAAGATAACACAAAACTGCTAGCCTCAATCATTGCTGAATAACCTGGGGCAAGAAGGGACATAATAGCTATATATAATGTCATAATACAGTAGACATATGACATGGAGCATGAGTGCCAACCAGATGTTGGGCTGAAAGGGGATAGGGTAGGGAGGTTGGGTTAGGTCAGGTTAGGTTAGGTTAGGTTAGGTTAGGTAAGGGTATGGTAGGGTAGGTTAGGGTAGGTCAGGTTATGCTACACTGTCATTAGGTTATGTTAGATTGGGTTTGGTTAATCATCTGGGCCCTTGGTCACAAAATCCAATATTAACATATTAATAGGTCCCTTAACAGTCCCACTTCATGCAACTCCGTCCTCACGTATGATGCAATAACGCTCGACTGCATCAACACACGTTGATGCTGTGACCTCCACCTCGGAACCTACCTCTGTAATGGAGCGGATTCCCACGGGTCTTCTAGGATAGCTGATTCCAGCTCGTCACCTACCCAGTGTAATATCCACCGACCCACTTACCACCCGCACGTCAACGCCCGTCCCCTGCGCCCGTCCGCGACAAGATCAGCGTCAGGGGACCAATGGGGAAATCCCTCGGCCCTGGTTGGTATCAGAAGGCTGCAAGAAAAATCTGAATACAAAAGTGACGCGATGGAGACAACTGAAACGAATACTTGGGCAGTCAAGTGTAGAATTGTTGTACCTAGGGCCATAGATTTGTTTGTGTATTTACGTGTTTCAGGACATATGATTAATGTTCATGGTCTGCTAGGAACAGCTGGTTGGAGGTCGCATTTCATGGTGAGATGCTTGTAAAGAGACCTAAAGGAGGCCTTGAGCTACTGAAGTCACGTTTGAGGCGAGCTGCTGGAGTCATCATAGCACTTGAACTTGGTGTTGCTGGGGCAGGATACTGGACTTTCAGGAAAGTCAACAGGGATCAAGGTATGTGTCAAATGTAAAAAAGGTGGCAATAATGCTGATTATGATGAATAGCAGCAACTGGCAGATGTGTGTGCATGTATGAGTGCATGCATGCATGCATGCACATGCTTGTGCATGCTTGTTTTTTATATGGAGCATGTTACCATGCTTCCAGGAAAGTCAATAGGGATCAGGGTATCAGTCAAATGTAAAAAGGTTTGCAATGGTACTGATTATGATGAATAGCAGCAACAGACAGATGTGTGTCTGCACGCATGAGTGGGGGCACTGCAGCACTGCACTGCACTGCACATGCATAGATCACTGCACAAGCTTGTGCATGCTTGTATATTGAAAAGCTCTATCCTATAGCTCATTTTTTTATTTATCCACACTGGCAGGTTAAATTCAAGCTGCTTTAAGCTGTTACTATTTGTCCAAATGGGATGGAGTGTGGCAGTTCATAGCAGCCATGCTTAAGGTTGGGTGACAGAAGTGGTAGGATGGACTATGCCAAGTATTATGGCTAGCTTAACTTTTACAAAAAAATATGCTGATGTCCTGAAATGTCACAATGGATGCCATCCTGGAAATCTATCTGATCAAAACTGTTCTCAGGTTTTAAAAATGTTGTGTGTGTGTGAGAGTGCTTGCTTTGTGAAGATGACTGCAAAAAGTGTGTGCTTCATTGTATGCCTTGGAACTTCATGTGAATGTGGAGACAGGAACTGCCACTGTATGATAGGGTGCTGGCTCAGTTTTCCATTTCTTGATACTTAAAAACTGGGCTTGACTAATTTGCATAGACCAGAAGTGTTAACCATGACCATCCATGAGCGAAGCAAAATAAGCTACAAACTTGTGTGCCCCTGCTGGCAGAGTTTCGTTATTATTTGCACCGCAACTGGCCGACGGTGCTGTCAGCATACTACACCTTCTGCAACACCATAGGGGAGGAGTACCGCCAGATTGAGTCAGCCGACATCCAGGCGTGGAAGGACCAGGTTCACAGAGTTCCGGCCTCATCGTCCTCCCCTCAGAGGTAGGGCATGGAGCAGCGTGACAGCCATTCCCCGATTCCGACGTGGGGCGATGAGATGTGCTATTGGCTGTTTGATTCCAAGGTTTGAGTTATTTGATGCATCATGTGAATGCTTCCAGTGACAGTGGGTTGACAACGCAGTTAAGCTGACCTGTTTGATCGCCTTACATGGGCTTGCAGTGCGGCACCATAAGACATACTGCGCGTGTCACAAGGTGATACTGTCCCCACAGCTGATCAATGGCGGCGGCGCGGGCGCTGGCCCACCTGGTGGTCTGGACGGGGCTCGGCTACTTCCTGATGAGGATGGTCACCCCCAGTGATGAGGAAATGCGCAAGGTGAGAGCTTCGCCAGATTCTGGACTCTGTTACCCATGTATCCTCTGTGACATACATGGTATGTCATTGTTTGAATTTTTGGCATGGTCCTGTGCGTGCAATCAGTGGTATGGCTTGGAGCTGGTATACTTTGTAATTTAACCGTTATGTTCGCAGGCGATAAACCCATACGGCGTGTCAAAGAACGAGAAGGAAACTAAGCTGGTTATGGAGACGTTAAAGAGGTCTGCCGGCATCAAGGGTGAATAGGACCATCTCGGATGCCTAGTCGTAAAAGGTACGCGGACTCCATAACTAGTTTTAAAGAAATACGTCGTCCTGCTGCCCTCGTGAATCAGACCATTTCAATTCATGTCGCAGTTGAAACTTCCACGCGACCAGAAAAAACGAATCGCTCTTCTCGCCAAACGGACATGCACTAGATGTTGACAGTGACCGCCGTATGTGCACATGTGGGGAGGAGAACGGTGCTCTCGTGGGAAGCAGCGAATACATGGCGGTCATTCCATCCGTTGGGGGGGGGGGGCGTGACACGCCTGACCTGGCCGGATGTCACCACAGTTGATCTTCCGCTCGGCAGGTTGGCGACCTGCCAGTCAGCCTCGGCCGGCAAGGACACTCAAGCCGCGGTTCGGGTGCTCCCGTCCTCCACACGGTCCTTCGACCGAGCTGTGGCGGCGGGGCTAAGGCTGCTGGTGAATTATATTGTTACGTTGCGACGAGATAGAATGATGGATGACATGTAGTATGTTAATAAAGATATGATGTGTGTACACACTGTGTTTGGCTAAGCATGGTTCCTAACCTACTGGCATGGCAGCTTTCTTGTGGTCATTTTCCTGAAACCGGCGATGTTCATTGATACTGGTGACAGTCGTTTACCATGATGCAACACCGCGTTCAGAACGGTTGGGGGTAAAGGCCCGATGAAAGTTGCTAGACATAAAAATAAGAATTGGTTTGGGTAGATCACATTCAGGAAGTAGCAGCTGTAATCATTATCCATTGTTAATTCCGTTTTCCTAAAACCATCCCAGCCGCGCGTACGCGTCATGCGTACTCAAGCTCAGGCCGCAGTTGGGCCGGTTTGTGTGTGGAGGGACAAGACAATACCAATCGAACGTTTTCCTCTGCGAAGCTAAATAATGTTCTCAAACATCAGAAGGATCGAGCTCTTCCACTGACATCTCCAGTGCGGGTCGTTCCTCAGTCTAAACTGCACAGTAGGCAATGAATTTACCCGGAGCCGCCTTTGGGGTATAAAGTGAGCGCACCTATCAAACAGCTTTTCCAACTTTATTTTCACAGCAAGTTGCGTTTTCAGAGTGGCCGTTCAACTTTAAACCCCCATAACGCATGCAATTTAGCTTCTATTATTTGTCCCTGGCCGTAGCAGTGCCGAATAGACTACTGCCACAAAGACATCAAAACACAGACATCTGGCCAACAAAGATACACGAGGGTCCATCGAGGTTTGTCTACCTCAGGCCCCCGTACACATCCTTAAAACTAATTTTACCACTGCATGAATTCAGTTACAAATGAAATCTTTAGACGGATAGAACTTGTCCACACGGTTTTTGGATTTTGTTAGAGGGACTTTCTACAATTTCGTGTGTCAACCTATTCCAGTAGTTCACTACTCTGAGTAAATGACGTCTGCCTCTTCATAGTTTTACTCCTACCTCTTGTTAAATGAAGCTGGTTTCCTTTATGCATCGGCCTAATTTACAGCGTCCCATCCAGATATACCCTGCCTATGCCTTTCATAATTTTGTATACATCCATCAGATCCACTCCATGTCTATGATATTCCAGTGAATACAAATGCAAGGTCCTAAGCCAATCCCTATATTTTAGGTCGCCAGTCCTATTTATCACCTTAGTTGCTTTTCGCTGCGCTCTTTCCAGTCGATGTAATCTTCTTGGAGCATGGGGACCAAGCCTGTACAAAACACTCTAGGTGTGATTTGACAATAGCTAAGTACAACTTTTTGGCAACATCCTTTCTTTTGTAATGGGCATGTAATGATGCACAGAATGGCACATTGGTGCACTTCACTTGTGCGCCGTACCTCCGCGGGTTGCACGTCCGTAACAGGGCGTAACAGCACGAGAGCGCCGTACCTCCGCGGGCTGCACGTCCGTAACAGGGCGTAGCATTTCGAGAGCGCCGTACCTCCGCGGGCTCCATCTCCGTTACAGGGCGTAACAGTACGAGAGCGCCGTACCTCCGCAGGCTCCATCTCCGTTACAGGGCGTAACAGTACGAGAGCGCCGTACCTCCGCGGGCTCCATCTCCGTTACAGGGCGTAGCAGTACGAAGCGCCGTACCTCCGCGGGCTCCATCTCCGTAACAGGGCGTAGCAGCACGAGAGCGCCGTACCACCGCGGGCTGCATCTCCGTTACAGGGCTTAACAGTGCGCGAGTGTCCACACGCATCAAATCCTACGAACCGGCCAAGACGTGCAGACCATGCACACCGACTCTGTACAACTTTTTTGGATAGTGCCTGCCAGGCTTTTCGACATCGATTTAAGTCGGCGTCGCCGTTTTGTTTTTAGTATTGGAGGTGAAAATCGATTTTTTTGCGTATCGCCGTAGGCAAGCAAACACATGTCGTCCGAAAAATAGTTTGCACTGAATTAGCCTCCAGATAATGATTTCACGCACCGTTCATTCTGAAAAAAGCAACGCAGCATTCGATGTGATATATTCGAAGATGATGCGCAACTGTTTATCGCTCAATTATGTATTGCACTTTACTTCTGTGACCGGCCCCATCTTCCCGCTTTGAGCCGGCTTGCGTTACGTGCTTGCTCTCCAGGTGCGGCTCCCTCCGGAGACGCCACTGGAGCAGTTCCGCTCCAGTGGCCCCAGCAGACGCCAGCGGGCTTAGCTCGGGTTGACCTCCGGCCGGGGTACGGCCCGGCGTCTGGCAACGGTGGAACCTGGCGCTAGCCGTCAAAATCACTGTTCTGTCCCCGTCACTCCCTTGACTGTAGCATTGCTGGAGATGCCTATCAGAACATCGCGTGGTGATGAAGCCATGACGAAATACTCGGAACCATCAGCGACCACGCATTCAGATTATCGTAACCAGACGCTACTACAAATGCTGTAAACCGAGTGCGTGCCCATAGGGCGCATAGTAACCGGAATGTCCGCGTACAGTGCTACAAGAGCTAGCGCCGCCACACGAACCCACCTCAATCGTGCTGAGCACGTCATGATGACAAACCCTCCGCCGGGGGACAGCAGATGTCGCTGCAGCGGCGCCGCTCTGTAATCACGATGTATTGTCAGGCGTGCTGCACTAACCACTGCAAGTCACAGCAGAACGAGTGCACCATCTTAAGTGAGGACATGAAACAATACTTTACGGTCAAAAAGCTTGCGGCAACATGCAACATATACCAGCGTCAATGAAGCCCTTGGTCCGGGATCCACGTCCAGGCTGTTAGAGATGAGTGGGCGATATTTCTACAGTTTTGCTGGATCACATGCACGATATCACAACAAACATTGGACACAAATTTGACTATAGATGCCCGAAAGACGCCGGAAACTCCTGCCCTTATCAAGTTATAAGGGGATCCCAGCTATCATCACGTTCTTATCCGCCTGCCACATGTTGCTGTGGGCAAGTACGTACAATGGCAAGGGTAAAAAATCGTGACTTATCAACAAAACATCAGCGACTAACACGTTCAAGCACGCCCCTGCCGCCTGCATCACCAGCCTGACCTGACCGGCGTCTGGCTGGCATCCTCTCACGCGTCGGCGCACAGCTCGAGCCGACCGGTGCGGCGCAGGCAGCGCCAGGTTCGCCGCAGGGCCGCCGGGTCCAGCTGGCCACGGCTGTAGCCGGCCGGCCGGCCACACCACCAGTCCGCGTCGGGCACGCGGCGCACGGACCGGCCCGACAGCCAGATACCCAGCGACGTGTCCTCGCCCTGGAACCTGCCGGTGGCCGGGCGGGTACGCTGACGTCCGAGTATCAGGATCCAGACACCCAGTACCGCGTCCTCGCCCTGGAACCTGCCGATGGCCGGGCGGGTATGGTGATGCCCGAGTCTTGGGATCAAGACACCCAGTACCGTGTCCTCGCCCTGGAACCTGCTGATGGCCGAGCGGGTATGGTGATGCCCGAGCCTCAGGATCCAGACACCCAGTAACGTGCCCTCGCCCTGGAAATTGCCGATGACCGAGCGGGTATGGTGACGCCCGAGTCTCAGGATCCAGACACCCAGCGACGTGTCCTCGCCCTGGAACCTGCTGATGGCCGGGCGGGTATGCTGACGTCCGAGTCTCGGGATCCAGATACCCAGCGACGTGTCCTCGCCCTGGAACCTGTCGATGGCCGAGCGGGTATGCTGACGCTCGAGTCTCGGGATCCAGACACCCAGAACCGTGCCCTCGCCCTGGGACCTGCCGATGGCCGAGCGGGTATGGTGATGCCCGAGCCTCAGGATCCAGACACCCAGTAACGTGCCCTCGCCCTGGAACCTGCCGATGACCGGGCGGGTATGGTGACGCCCGAGCCTCAGGATCCAGACACCCAGTACCGTGTCCTCGCCCTGGAACTTGCCGATGGCCGAGCGGGTATGCTGACGCCCGAGTCTCGGGATCCAGACACCCAGTAACGTGTCCCCGCCCTGGAACCTGCCGATGGCCGGGCGGGTATGCTGACGCTCGAGTCTCAGGATACAGGCACACAGCGACGTCTTGGATCCTGAGCGTACACTTTGAGCTAGTATGTTGAAAATAACTTTCATTCGAATTTCAGCGCACCAGGAGGTGCTGGTTAAGCATGGTTAGGCCCGGCACGCTCGGACATCGCCCCGAGCGGCGCCCCACCTGGTTAGATGTTGAGAACTGGCGGCCAGCCGGCGCACCGCGTCCATCGAGAGCAGGCTGGCCGTGCCGCACGCGAACGGCGGATACACCTCCGCCTGGTACACGTACTCGGCCCACTTGCCGTACCGGTTCGCTGGCCAGTTGTACCTGCGACGGTCAGCCGCCTGAGAGTCACTTTCACGCCGTGGTTTGTTCAGGACTGGCATGTGTTACTTTTGCCGGCAACGCTGCTCGACGACGTTGTTGAGTAATGCGCTGAATGAGCACAACCGGATAATACATCGACAAAAAGATAGTCACCTAAGATAAGCAAATAAGCCATTGACAGCACCCCATGCACCTCGCAGCTTTGGAAGCATTTGAACTCCAACATATCGAGACAGATAACACACCTGAAGTTTCCCCACCAGATGTCACTGCCGGTGCGTTTTGGAATGTTCTGCAGTATGCGCGGCAGGTCTAGGATTACGTCGTCGTCACATTTGATGACCCAGTCAGCAGAGCTGTGTGTGGAGACCCTGCCAAGCGAAGACAAGAAGCAGCATACCATACACGCCAGCGTTCCTTCTGGTTCGCCTCCATCATGTGTGTTCAGAGCTGTGTGTGGAGACCCTGCCAAGCAAAGACAGGACGCAACATACCATACACGCCAGCGTTCCTTCTGGTTCGTCTCTATCATGTGTGTTCCAAACGCCACACACTCGCCATCGGTTAGCCATGGGCGGTCGGCCCGAGGTGCGGGACTCACCAGGAGAAGAAGCCGAGCAGTTTGTCGGGCAGGCAGCGGTACACGTCGATGCCGGGCAGCAGGAGCAGGTCGCCGTGCTCGGCCGCCTCCTCCGCTAGCGCCCGCTGGGCGGCGCCACCGTCGTCCCGGTGGCAGCTCGCCGGTCGGCCCTCTAACAGCTCTGC